CATCTTCACATCTGCACATCTACATCTCTGCTCATCTTCACATCCTCACATCTACATCTCAGCTCATCTTCATCTTCACACATCTACATCTCTGCTCATCTTCACATCTGCACATCTACATCTCTGCTCATCTTCACATCCTCACATCTACATCTCACATCTTCACCTCTCGCTCTTCTTAACTTTCTCTCTTAAGGCCGGGGCCAGTGCCGCCGGACCGCCACGAAACGCAACCCTCTGCCGAGATCGTGCGTGTCGAGCGCGCGAAACGCAGGCGAGAGTGCGATTTGGCTTTGTCGCGGGCAACCCTCTGCGGAGATCGTGCGTGTCGAGAGTCGAGCGCGCGAAACGCAGGCGAGAGTGCGATTTGTCCCGGTCCGGGACTGCGGAGATCGCGCGTGTCGAGTGAACGAAATGCAGGCGAGAGCGCGATTTGCCCCGGTCCGGGACAACCCTCTGCGGAGATCGTGCGTGTCGAGGGCGCGAAATGCAGGCGAGAGTGCGATTTGTCCCGGTCGCGGGCAACCCTCTGCGGAGATCGTGCGTGTCGAGTGCCGAAATGCAGGCGAGAGCGCGATTTGCCCCGGTCCGGGGCAACCCTCGTCTGCGGAGATCGTGCGCGTCGAGGGCGCGATATGCAGGCGAGAGTGCGATTTGTCCCGGCGGCGGGCAACCCTCTGCGGGGATCGCGCGCGTCGAGCGCGAAACGCAGGCGAGGGTGCGATTTGTCCCGGTCTGCGAAAGTGCGATTCGCAGAGGACAGTCCCATGCGCGCGCGCGCGCGCGTATGCTGGAAGCTGAGAACTGGCGACTTCCTAGCACAACTTTAGTACGCGGAGTATCTGGCGAGCTGGAAGATGAGAACTGGCGACTTTGCAGTACAACTTTAGTACGCGGAGTATCTGGGGAGCTGGAAGATGAGAACAGGCGAAGTTGTAGTGCAACTTTAGTACGCGGAGTATCTGGGGAGCTGGAAGATGAGAACTGGCGACTTTGTAGTACAACTCTAGTACGCGGAGCAATCTGTGGAGCTGGAAGCTGAGAACTGGCGGCTTTGTAGTACAACTTGAGTACGGGGAGTATGTGGGGAGCTGGAAGATGGGAACTGGCGACTTTGTAGTACAACTTTAGTGCGCGGAGCAATCTGTGGAGCTGGAAGCTGAGAATTGGCGACTTTGTAGTACAAATTTAGTACGCGGAGTATCTGGGGAGCTGGAAGATGAGAACTGGCGAAGTTGTAGTGCAACTTTAGTACGCGGAGTATCTGGGGAGCTGGAAGATGCGCGGAGCAATCTGTGGAGCTGGAAGCTGAGAACTGGTGAGAACTGGCGACTTTGTACAACTTGAGTACGCGGAGTATCTGGCGAGCTGGAAGATGAGAACTGGCGACTTTCTAGTACAACTTACTACTAGTAACAAGGACGCTACTAGGGGCTCCTGGCCATACTACT